GAGACAGAGTGGGGAGCAGAAACAGGTGGCTCTACCGAAAATCACTGCTGAGGGGAGCAGTGGGCAAGACAGCAGAGGTCTGCTGCACCATATAGGTTAGCTCCCTGGCCCAGGATTGAATGCAGACCATAGCAGTGATAGCACTGAGACTTAACTCCTAGGCCACCCATTAATGTTGGGATCAACTCCATAATTTGCTCTAGTCAAAGGGATGTGCATCTGTCAATATCAGTGTTTGACACATAGTAAGCATTTACATTTACAAATGAAATGAATTAATAAATTTTGAGAGAAAATCTAAATTCAGTATCTGGTCTACTAGGTGTTTTTCATGTGCATGCTATTTGTTTTTCTGTTTGCTTTCCAGTTTCCTTTTTTGGTTCTGTATCATGGAGGTTCTGGTTTTTGCAAAGATTATTTCCCATACTTCCTTATCAGTCATTACAAGATAAGTTCAACCATGAAGAGTTACCTACACTGAAAGAAAAAGACCAGAGCTTTTCTCTCCTTTTCTCTTCTTGGATGGAGGGGGCTGCATGTCTAGTAGTGACTGCTTTTCTTCTGTGATTCCAGCTCCCACCAGAAAACACTTCCTCCTTGGCCCTGGATCCTCAGAGATTCCCACCCTTACCAAGTGACTCCAGTCCACTTTCTGGGCTCCAGTGAAGCACATGCTTCCTTGTTCCTTCCATTTCATAGGGTGTAGCATTTGCCTGCAGTTGCTAATCGCTCAATTTCTTATCTTACCCTGTTTGTTCTTTTGATTTTTCTAATCCCCATGTATTGTTTCCTATATTAAAATTTTTCTGATTGTTTCCTTTTTCTGGTTGGACCTTGATGGACAACCTATTTCATGAGCCATGTACAAAGCCATGGTTTATTATAAACTCCAGATCCTAGCTATGTTTTCTTCCTTAATTCTTCTTTAAGAGCATTTCTGTGAAATAATCTTCCTTATGTCCTCTTTTCTTTTCTTATGAGTAATAGTATTTTGTATCACTTGAGATAGGATTATGTTCAGAACATTATGAGCAATCAAAAAGCTAAGTCTGCCCAATATTGTAAAAATATCAGCTGTTCCCAAATTGATCTAAAGGTTTGATGTAATTCCTGTTATAATCCTAACAAATTTTTTCATGAAAGTTGGCAAATGGTACTAAACTTTATAGGAAAATGTAAAGGACCAAAGATAACTAATAACCTTCTAAAAAAAATCAAGGTCTTCCCAAGACCTTTCCACCAGTAACAAGACTTATTAAAAAGCTCTTGTGATAGGGCCTCCCCGGTGGCGCAGCGGTTGAGCGCTGGGTTGCGAAGCTGCCTGCAGCCTCGGTAGCACCGGTTCGATCCCCGGCTGCTCCCCGGCCACCGGAGGAGGGTCTCACATGGCTCACAGACCTCTCCTGCCGCCCACTGCTCCCCTCAGCAGTGTACTTCGGTCCTTCTGCCTGCTCTGCTCCCCGTTCTGGCTCTGGTGAATTCTCTCACCCTCCTGCGCTTCTGACTGTACCCAGTGCTTGCATAAATAATAAAAATAAATAAATAAATTTAAAAAAGCTCTTGTGATAAAGAAATTGTGATACTGCTCCAAGGATAAACAGTTAGACCAATGAAATAGAATGGATCAATATTATGGAAGAGTCTTAAAATATGCCCAGGCATATCTGGACTAGGGTTTTTTTTTTTTTTTTTTTCAAAGTGACACTATAGAGTAAGAGGGAAAAAATGATGATTAGGTGTTGATATGGTAAACAGTGTGACTGTACACCTTTCTCATACTGTGCTTATTCTAAACTTAGCTTCTAAGGAAAATGTTGGTGTTCCTTCTTCATCCTGCTTTGAGAGAATTCCTGAGAAATACTCCTTCCAAAGGCTTTATTTTTCTGGTTCATGGACCTCTAGAGGTGAAAGGAATAATAATAATAATAATAATAATAATAATAAGAGCTTTCCACTCCGCCGGCCGTGGTGGACCCGCCACCAAGATGCAGATTTTCGTGAAAACTTTCACGGGGGAAGACGATTACCCTCGAGGTTGATCCCTCGGATACAATCAAAAATGTAAAGGCCAAGATCCAGGATAAGGAAGGAATTCCTCCTGATCAGCAGAGACTAATCTTTGCTGGCAAACAACTGGAAGATGGACGAACTCTGTCTGACTACAACATTCAGAAGGAGTCCACTCTTCATCTTGTCCTGAGACTGCGTGGTGGTGCTAAGAAAAGAAAGAAGAAGTCTTACACCACTCCCAAGAAAAATAAACATAAGAGAAAGAAGGTTAAGCTAGCTGTCCTGAAATATTATAAGGTGGATGAGAATGGCAAAATCAGTCGCCTTCGTCGGGAGTGCCCATCCGATGAATGTGGTGCTGGAGTTTTTATGGCCAGCCACTTTGACAGACATTATTGTGGCAAATGTTGTCTGACCTATTGTTTCAACAAACCAGAAGACAAGTAATTGTGTATGGCTTCATAATAAATGACATTAACATTTAAATAATAATAATAATAATAATAATGTTATAAAATGATGAGAGCAAAAGAAAGATAAGTCTGAGTGTAGGATCTGGTGGGGCTTGATGGTCAATAACAAAAAGACTTTTCTTGGTAAGTAATACACTTAGCCAAAGCTTAGTCTGAGAAGCCACAAGATGATATCAACATTTTTAACCCTGTGTTTTTTCAAAGGAGTGAGAAGAGAGGGAAATTGCTGGAAAACTTAAATGCAGATGTTCCTAGAAAGAGGTAATTTCAAAGTGCCGTTGGCAATAAGTGCATCTTAAAGAACAGTTGGAACCCTTATATAATTTCAGCAGAGGAAGATCTCCCAGATCAACATTCAAGGAAAGGCCCTCCTTCAACACCTTCCTTTTCTGAACCCACTGCTTTACAGAGGTGTTAAATAGGTTCTTTTGTGCCAACAACATTCTTTTCCATTTGTTTTAAAATTATAACACATTCTGGAAAAATGCAAAAATAGTATTAAAATTCTCATGCACCTTTCACCCCAACTTCCCAGAACTTAGCAGTTGCCATGGCTGCCTTAGTATTCTCTCTCTCTCTCACTCTCTCTCTCTATATATATTTTTAAATATTTGAGACTAAGCACAAATGGTACCCTTTAGCTACTAGATATTCATCGTGTTTCCTAAGAACTAGGACATCTTACATAATCACTATACAATTCTCAAGATCAGGAAATTAACATCAATGCAAAATTTATTATGTAACTGACAGACCTTATTTAATTTTACTAATTGTCTCACTAATATTCTTTTTAAGACTCTTCTTTAAATATTCTGTGACTGTGGTCTTGGTGAAATGAATCCAAGTCTTTTCAGGAAGATGTAGTCATCTACTCAACACATGCAAAAAGAATTTGAGGTAGACAGATTGATTTTCAGGAAAAAGACACTGTGACCTCCTTTTAGCAATGCATTCAGACATCTACCTTCCCTGAAAGAGACCCCAAATGGAGGATCATTCTATTCTCTGTGTTACCAGAAAAAAATTCTGGATTGTTTCATTGTTTCTCTTATGTGCAGCACACTTTGCCTGCTGCTTTTTCCTAATTCTTCATTAGACTGTGAGAACCCACACCAAAAATATCCTAGAATATGTTTTCACCTTCCTCTCATACATAGTAACAAAAACTATTTCAATTTCAAAGCACAGGACTGTGGGAAGTACTAGATCCTACCAGCAGGTTATTTCATTATTGCCCTGTGAGACCATGGTTCTGCTGGCATAATTAAAGACCAAAGGGTAAAAACTGAAATAAACATCCCTCAGAAAAGGGACCAGTTGAATAAACTCTAGTTAATACAGCCAATTTATATGGTGTAGCCTCTCAATAGAAGATGCAGTTATATATGTTCCAAAATAAACCTAAAAATTAAGAAATGGTTAAATCGTGTTGACTAAGCAGATGGAATTAGGGAACTGGTGGGGAAAGAAATGGGAGACATTAAACCCTTTGTAGCATGCGATATTTAAAATTGTACCCTGTGTTATGTGCTCAGAGAGTCAGAAATAGTGTACATGTAGGTAACTGATAGAAAGATAGCTAGCTAATGGAATGAATGAATCATGAATAGGTAGATAGATTTAACACCAAAACTTTGAAGGACAGGTTCCATTATCTCCAGCTGTACCCTTTGTCTTTTTTTAGTTTCTAAATCAATGTATTTGTTTATTTTATTAATATAGTGCAATTTTTTACATCCTTGTTAATATTTTGACAATAGAGAATTTTTTCCCCTCAGGTGTGGTCTCCCTAACTCTAGCACCCACAGTGATCCACCATAGTCTCTCCCTCCCCCCTCCTGGATGCCTCAGATCTATGGTCTGCATTCCTGAAACCTTTATTTGTATTTTATTTATTTTTTTAAATAAATTTTATTTTTATATTCCCCATACAATTGCAACCCCCTTATTTTGACCCCAATCCCTCCCCTCCCCGCCCCCCACCCCCCCATAGAGTGAACCTTTATTTTTAAAGCCATCATTCCCTTTCCCATTCCACCCCCCATCCCCACCATTTATTCCTTTCTAGTAGCAGTAGCCTTACCTCCCCTGAGTAGGGATGATACAAACAGACTTACTCTTACTCGTGCACACACTCGACAGACCCACATACCATACACAGCCTCCAACAAGCCTTTTAGACTTGAAGGGGGCTGGGGAGGAGAAGGAAGGTAGATGAGGAGCAAGACTGGGCAACCTGAACTGGACCTCAGGCTCCTCTCCCAGGTCTCAGATTTGCGCTATCTCCCTCACGCCTCCATTTCTTCCTCCCTTTCAGTCCCCACCCCCGCTCCAGCTCCAGAGCACCCAGGCGACCGGACTGGCGTGAATTTCCTCCTACAAGCTCTGCCACCCCCGGGGCCACTTGGTGACGTCAGGACTGAGTGGGGGAGGGGGCCCTCCCGGTTGCCCGCCCCTCCAGCCCCTGCGGCCCCGGCTTGCCCTTTAAAAGAGCCGGGCCTGCGCCAACCGCGCCACACCGCGGGACCAGGACACACAGCTGCTTTCCTGGAGCATCTTTGTCTCACCTTCCATTCGCATCTCGCTGCACGGGTCCAGCCGCCGTCCTCTCTGCGCAGATTCGGGCGAGCGGGGTCATGCAGCCGGCGGTGCTTCTCGGCCTCCTGGGAGCGGCGGTGGCGGCCGGTGAGTGAGCGCGGCGGGCCGCTCAGCACCGCGGACAGCGCCAGCCTCTGCCGGTCCCCAGCCCCTCGCGGGCTTGACTGGCGGCTCCCCGGAGAGAGAAGGCTGAGTGGAAGGTTTTCCCCTCTTGCTTGAGATTCTTAATTTCTTCTTTTCCTTGGGTGTTTTCCCTCAACTCCACGTCCACTGTATGACTTGGGAAAAAAGAGGGTTTCCTAACCCACAAGAGTCTCAGTTTTTCACATCTGAGTTTTTCTGTAGATAGGAAGAAAACGTGCTTGCTTCTAAGACACCCCACAATTTGTGCTCACTTCTAAAGTGTCTAAAGTGAGTCTCTCAACCCGTCTAGAGAGACACGGATCTAATCTAATTCTATATTTGTAATCAAGTATTTATTTGACTTTTTAAAAGCCAGATGGCAATGGAGAGACTGGAGTATGTGTATTATTGGCACCTGCATAATTCCCTTTATTGTTGTTTTTTAATTAAACACGATGAGATGAGATAAAAGTAAGTTCTGAATATATATGACACAATTTATATCTTTTTTCTTAACAAGTGCCTATATGTGCATATGCTTGTTCATGTATATGTGTGTACAGCTTTAATGTAATATTTTTCTGTAATTTGAATTTCCATCTTTGGGGAGAGGTGATTTCACACTCGATCCATTTTAAAGTTATGAATAGAAACTGCAGTAGACATTTCAACTGTTGTGCTCCAGATAAATAGAGTATAAAGTAACAACAAAAAATATTCTTGGAGTAGTAAAAATGTTTTCTTCAATTAGGGAGGATGAAAATTCAAATAATAGATATTTATGGTGCCTTTTTATGCATGGAAGATTGTGGGGTTTTAATCTTTTAAACTATTCTGAACAGCCAAGAAATGATCTCTAGAGATTTTGGGGAAAGTGTATGTGTGTGTGTGTGTTGAAGTAAAGTCCTATAAATATTGAGAATATTGAAAAAAATTTGATGTGACAAGGTTTCCTTTAGCTGTTTTAGTGACCTCATAGAATGTAGTTCTTACCTGAGATCAAGGTTCCTAACTAGAACTGAGTTATTGTCACCCATGAATATCAAACTTTCATTGATAGTCTTACCATATCTAGAATGAAAATCTGTGGTAATTTATTTATTGCAAGCTGCATATATTTGGAATCTACTAAAATTCTTGTCATTCTTATAAATTGCCTATACATGTTCTCCATTTAATTAAAGAGAATCAAATTTAGTATGTTCAGTCATTTCTAGTCAAAGATATTTTTAGAAAGCTATGCTACACATTGTGCTATTGGTCACAAAAACAATGTCATGTGAGATTTATTTAATTATAGTGATAAAATAGTTATAGCTCATTATGCAAGACTTTTGATAAGGGTTCATATTTTAGTAGTGGTCAAAAATGGAGACATTCTTTTTGAGAAAATTATTGAGCTATGTAATCCACACTCCATAAAATACACTCTTTTAAAGCATATAATGCAATGATTTTTGGTATATTCACAGATTGTGTAACCATCACCACTATCAAATTTCAGAATATTTTTATCACCTCAGAAAGAAACTCTGTTTCCTTCCCACGTCATTCTCCATTTCTGCCTCCTCCAAACACTTGAAAATGAGACATGTAACCTTCAAGCAGAACTTGTTATTTAGCAAAATCACAGGAATGGGGGAAACTCAGGAAACCATATGTTTCTTTTCCTACCCTTAAGAGCTTCTGGAGGGAGATCCACACCATTTTATAGTAGATAATCTGAAAATTAATGAGTGAACTAGCTACATGATATTTTTATTATACTAAATAGAATGACTTGTGCATTTGGAAGAACTTGCTCAACTTGCAATTTTATAGCTGTATGGGCAATCTGTAATTAAACCTTGATAGTCTTATGAGATATCAATACTGTAAAATTCATTCTGAGATTTATCATATTATTTGAAATTTTTTCTACCATTTGACTACTTCCCTTTTAACATTATCACTAAGTTTTCTTTTGTGCCCTTTGAATCTTACTGTATGCAAAAATAGTTAAACTACTAGGGGAATCAACATGTCTGTTATTACTTTATTGTCACAGATTCTATTGAAAGAAATACATTGGATGCATCATGTACTTTCACAAGGAGACCATAGTTCTTTTCTATCAAAAATTTGTCTGTAAGGCCTCAATCAGAGAAAAAAAACTGTAATAACAAATATGAGCTAGAAATTATTAAATATCATAAAAGTGAAAAATATTTTCATCCCCCAGAATCTTATGATGGTTAATACTTCAGCAATATCAGTAGTTAATAAAGATAACTATTTTGCATTTGTGGAAAAAAAGAGAAAAATTATTAGCAAAAAACTGCAATGCCAAAGAAGGTTTAGTAAAGCTAGATTTTTTTTTAAAGGAGTAATTTCTCAATTATTTCTTTCCAAAAGATTTTATAGATTTTAGGCAGAAAGAGATGCCAATGTGGAAATGCTCCCAAACATGAGTCGTTTGGGGGATAAAATAATGGCCTAGCATACTGGACCCCAGGTGCCATAGGCAGGCCATCCATATCTTGTCTGAACTGATTTCATGAAGAGCACGGAGTCTTCATGCCTCAATTATCACTTGATTATCAAACATTTTACAAATGATTTTTAACATATTGGATAACTTTTGTCTCTTGAAACAAGTGAAATAGATACAAGGTCATATTTGAAAAGGAGGCTTTAGTGAGTAAATGAGTAGGTATTTTATTTCTAGATTGATCAATAGTATAGTAATTGATTGCAAGAGGGTTAGTTAAAGAGGCTTGAAGAGCATTTTGGGAGGAAAGGTCAGTTTGCTGGTTATAAATAAACCGCATCTAAATAGCTTCCATTTCTGATTTCTGAGAGTTTTGCTGTTGCTCTTGCTGACTCTTCTCTTGTCTTGGCAACCTGAGGTTCTCTAGCCATAATTGCCATTTCTCCTCCAGGGAGTGCTGGCAGAGGTATGATCTTTGAGATTCTCAAATGGAAAGGCCATATACAGAACAAAGTTACAGATAAAAGAATCAAAGCAGTATTGAAAGAAAAAAAGGTACTGGAAAATTAAAATCACCTGAAGCAGACAAAAGCACTTCAATCGCTGGTCTAAAATAAGCAGAATCTCATGAAAATTAATTTAAACAAATTAAAAGTACCCTTTTAAAATATCCTTATAAGTCAGTTGTTAAACATTTATTTGCATGTAATATTATGGGCTTGATGCTGTACTCGTAGAATCAGATGCTCCCCATGTTCTTTACATGGCTGTAGATAAAAGGGGAAGAAAAACACAACAGTGATAGAGACTCATAAGTGAGCTTGTTCAAGCAAAGGCCTGGAGGTAAACATAAGATAATTGTTTTTGTAAATGAGTTGTAACTGTGCCTTTATAAAGGAGATAAGTTTTTTTGAAGTTTTATTTTATTTTTTTTAAATTTTTTTAAAAATAAATTTTATTTTTATATTCCTCATACAATTGCAATCCCCTTATTTTGACCCCAATCCCTCCTCTCCCCGCCCCCCACCCCCCATATAGTGTCTCTGGTTCATAGTTTTTTGTTGATTTTGATTCTTATAGTTATTCATTTTCCTGGTCCCTTATTTAAGTTTTCTAGATTCCTGCTATGAGTGAGACCATCCGGTATTTTTCTTTTTCTTTCTGGCTTATTTCACTGAGCATGATCCCTTCCAGCGCCATCCATGTTGCTGCAAAGTGCATGTGTTTATCTTTTTTGAATGCTGAGTAATATTCCATGGTGTATGTGTACCACATCTTCTTGATCCAGTCATCTATTTTTGGGCATTAGGGTTGTTTCCAAAGCTTAGCTATTGTAAACAGTGCTGCTATAAACATAGGGGTGCAGGTGCTCTTTGGAATTGATGTTTCTGTGTCCTTTGGGTAAATACCTAGGAGTGGAATTGCTGGATCATATGGAAGCTCTATGTTTAGTAGGTCCAGAAATCTCCACACAGCTCTTAAAGGAGATACGTTTTAAGGAGAATATTTTCTTAGGAATAGGAAGAGCGGAGGAAATCACAAATCTACCCATTTTGTGTCAGCAGAAGGGTTGAGGAGGGCACCCTGGTTTCATTTAAACTAGGTTTGCTTTAACTTTTCATTGAAGTATAATATACAGATAGAAAACTGCACAGATAAGTAGACAGCTTAATGCATTTTTCACACACTGAGCACACCTGTTTTAATCAGCACCAAGATCTAGACACAGAGCATTATCAATACTCCTGAGGTTTCCTTGATGTGATCTGGATTTGATTGATACTGGATATATATAGCATTCATTTCCAAATCATGTTTAAGGCATTGCTAGGGATAACAGTTGTATGAGTGGAGTGTGTATGTGTGGAGGGGGTGCGGGGTGTGTGCGGGCGCATTTGGGGCAATCATATTCCCTGAGATAATTATCCTCAACTATTTCCACTCTACTCAACTAACTCTGCCTGCTCTCTAAGTAACACTTAGGAGGTAGGGGTGATTTTGTGTGTCTCAGCTCACACGACTTCCAAAATCAACTCAAGTCATTCCTTGTTCTTTTTCTCCTTGAAAGCTGTCAGTTCTCTGCCAGTGGACAACAGGAACCACGATGAAGAAATGGTAAGTTGAAATGGAAGTCTAGAATTTAGACTTATATCTAGACTCTAGAGTTTCCTCCTCTTTATCATACCAAATCAAACAAAAACAACAATTTAAAAATCCACAGCACAGTCTTACAAAACTAGGTGTTTTCCCTAAAGGAATGGGGCAAGGCCTGCGTCTCCTGCATTCTCTCCTTCTTCCTGTTCAAAAATGGGTGTCTGTTTCTTTTCTTGGGGTCTTGATCCAATGCCCTCTTGCATTACTCTGTGCAAAGGCCTGGAAGGTTTGATTATGGACCTATAAGTCTACATGCCTGCCACAGGACCATGCATTAGCACAGGTCACATAACCAAATCTTTCTCTACAGTACTCTAGAGTGAATAATCTGTCGTCCCAGTGAGACCACCTTTTGCTAAGGTACTTTTGGGTTTCCTTACAGGTGACTCGCTGCATCATTGAGGTCCTCTCAAATGCCCTGTCGAAGTCCAACGCTCCACCCATCACCCCTGAGTGCCGACAAGTCTTGAAGAAGAGTAAGTGTTTTGCCCTGCAAGAGATCTTTATCCCTGTATCTTCTCACTCCACCTTACAGCTGACCTCTGAATGAACCAGGGTGGGGGCAGGAGGGGGCAATATAATGCAATGGGAAGAGTACAGACTAGTCCAGTATCTGGAGAGATGTAAGATGTGGCTTCTAGTCCTGGTTCTGCCACTTAACACTGTGTGACCAAGAGGAAGACCCCTTCCCTCTTCAAGCTCATGCTCTCAAAGTAAAATGAGGGAGTTGAATTTGATGATAGCTTTTGAGTTGTCTATCACTTCTTAAATGACTTGATTCCAGAGTTTGGATTTTTAAAATTGTTTTTCATCTGGGTGCAGGGAGATGTGGGGAGTGCTTACTTAAGATCAGATGAAGCTGGTGGTTTAAGTGTTAAGGGGTGTTGGAAGATGAAAGGATAGAAGGCAATTTAAATATTAAGACATTTTAATGCAGAGCTTATTAAAATGGGAGGTCTTACTAAATGGTACCAGGAGTTTGGATCATAGAACTGGAAGAGGAGAGAGTAGAGGTGGAGCATCCAGCTCAGAGCAATGGCCTTCTGAGTCTACACTGGGATTGTTCTCTACAGAAAACACCTTCTGTTGAAAAGAAAATTTAAACAGTGATGGAGCAGTATCAATTGAGAGTTGACATTAAGGTCAGTTTCACAAAACCGTGCAGTCTTTTTTATTTATGAAGTCGAACTGATTCCAACAATTGAAAAAACACTGAGTTCTTTGACACTTTTTCTGTTTTTAATTTTTAGTGAGGTTGGGAGCAGTGGATTTCTTTTTCTTTTCATCTTCAAAATGTCTCACTGCAGACCAGTCCTCTCTTACTATTGCTGCACAAGCACATTCATACATCAAATTGTAAAAACAAGTATTAGCGAGTGGCCAGAAGACTAACCAGGGGAGATTCCATCCACCATTGGGGGCTTCAGGGTAGCCATAGTAGGGGTGGGGGTCTAAGCCTGTAGGGGCCTCATGAATAGTAGCAGGAAGCTTCCCTACTACTCCCAGCCTATACACATCTTTCTGAACTTCTCTCAAACTTTTATGGCATTACAGGAAATAAGTAAAAGCAGAGAGGTTCTCCAGGTAGGGCTAGAGGCTCTCTCTCCTCTGGGCAAACCCATCTCATCATCTCTCTTTTCCTGTCTTTGTTTACTGGAAGGATGCAAAGGTGTGGAGTCTGTCATATTAGGTCACCAAAAGGAACATGACTGCTTTGGAAGAGATGTTGAAAGTAGGAGTCCACTTCCCTGCCCAGATAGGTTCAACTGTGTCCTTTGGATTCTAGCCTCTGCTCATCACTTCTTATAACCTGGGGTCATTTTTTGTCTGTTGAGAGAGAGCTCCAAGGAAACCAATAAAAGTCAGATGACCCAGTTTTATTGACCTTGGAAACATTATACACTGAGTGCCATAGAATACTGAGATGGGGAATATTGAAGAGGGTTTCAAAGTTCCTCTGGGTTTGCAGACTCCAACACCAGCCAGGGCCAAACAGACAGATAACATAAAGGAGTAAGGTGGGACAGGGATGACTCACAAACTTGAGGATACGTAGCCTTCTGAGTGGGAGCAGATATTTCTGAGCTCCAACCTATAGCGAAGAAATATAGATTCTGTTACCAGATCTGGGGATTTTTTTAAAAGTTAAAGTTTGGATTTTTTCAGCAGTATCTCCTGTTATTTAAGTATCGCCTCTGAATTCAAATTTCCTAAAAATGTTATTTGGCCAAATAGAACTCATTCTGGGGCTACCAATTTGTGACTTTTGTGCTATTCTAGTTTTCTCTCTCCTGCTGATTTGTCATCAGCTGATCAGAAAATGGGTGGAGCATTCAGCAACAGGAGAGATGATTCCTTCTTGGAGTTCCCCTCCCAACCCTTGGCTCATTTCCATCTCCGCTCCCACAGTTGCTAGCACATATCTGGAGACAGTATACACTGACTGGCCAAAGGAACATTGGGGAGTAGGGAAGAATCATTGTTTTATGGCTTGACTTTAGGAAATATACAGTCCAATATCTTAACAGGTACAGAATCTTTTTGACCCTGTTGGTCTGGCCATCCTTACAACATGACAGTTAGGGAGGTAAAGTACATTTCTCCGTTTACTTGAAAGTGAGGGTAAGCATCACACCTTGGTTTTACAGAATGACAATAACTGTGTGCTGTTAATCACAGCCTTCTTCTGATCTCACCTGCAAGGGCTTAAAGCTAAATTTAGGAGGAAGTGCTAAGACTCAGGCACAGGCTGCTACAGGCAGCACACATTTAACTGGGAGGAAAATAAAAAATACTTCTGTTACTGATCAGCAGGCATTATTAGGAAAGGAACCACATCACTTGGCCCCAGGAAGCTGAGCTTCTCTCTGATCTGCAGCACTATTTTGCTGGCTCTCAGAATGATGTCAGCATCTGCCCAAACACTCCTGAGTTACTGTTCTTTTCATCTGGCCAGCCCCCACCCCCATATTGGCCTTCAAGGGCAAAGGCATTGGCCAGGGATCAGCCCTCAGGTGTCTTGGATGTGAAAGGTCAGGGACATTTAGTTGTCTCCTAAACCATGAGAATGTCATTGTGCCAAGCTGGGCTTTACACTGGGAAGTACAAACGTCCATCCACTATTTTTTGGACATTTTTACAAAACAAATGCATTTTTTCCCTTTTGCAAATGTCAGTTCAAATTGTCTCACAAGTGCCATTCTATAGAAATATGAGAAACACAAATGTCATTTCAAATTTTTCAATAACCATGTTAAAAAAGTAAAAAGAAACAGGAGAAATTCATTTTAATAATACATTTTATTTAATATATAGTTTTTATACATCTAATGTATTTATAATCCATATTATCTAATATAACCAAAATATCATTTCAATACATAATGAATATGAAAAACTAAATATATAGTCTTAGAAAGCTGATACTTTCTTTTTTTAAAAGATTTATTTATTTATGCATACAAGAAATGGGGTACAGGCCAGATGTGTGGGGGTGAGAGGATTCACCAGAGACAGAGTGGGAAACAGAACAGATGGATCAACCGAAATACACTGCTGAGGGGAGCAGCGGGCGAGTCAGGAGAGGGCTGCTGTGCCATCTGGGTTGCTCCCTAGCTGGCCAGGGATCGAACTCGTGCTACAGTGGCTGTGGATAGCTTCATAGGTTGCGTCTTAACCCCTTGAGCCACCAGGGAGGCCCGAGCTGGAAGTGTCTTACACTTACAACGTGTTCCAGTTTGGACCAGCCACATTTCAAGCACTCAATAGCCACAGAGGGCTGGAGGCTCCCACAAAGAGCAACACAGATGGAGACAGACAGCTGGGAGTGGCCTTGGCTTCCAGAGTTCTATCTGAACTCAGTGAAAAAGTTGAAACTGAAGCCTTCCCAGCTAATAATCAGACAGTGTTAACTGCATATCTCCTTTCATGGGATGCCCTTGAATTAAGGAGGATTTAGTGAAAGAGTAACTGACATCTGGAAAACAGCACTCAGTTAAAATATCAGTTATTCCATCTACTGTTGACTTGTGAACCACAAAGGTAACATAAAACACTGAAGTTTATCCTTGAGCTCTGAGAACAAGTTGGGTGAATGTGACCTGAGGGAAGGAAGAAATTGTGTTTTCTGCTGCTGAGGGAATGAAATGTCTTCTCAGGGAAGAAATATAATCCTTTTTATCACCAGTTATTGAATTATATTGTTAATCACTGCTAGGTTGACTCTACACAGTTAATTGGATAATAAAATTCTGATAAACTAATAAATTAAAAAAAATTAAATCCTCCTTTGAATCCTGAAGTTCCCATCTTGGCTATTTAGCTTTATTTAGTTGGATTCTAGGTAGAGCTATTTACACAATGCTGACTTTTTAAACCCTTACTTAAAGCAAACATGTAAAAAATAGTCCTGGATTACATCTCATTGAGTGTCAGTGTCTTTGTCTGCAAAAACAGAAGGTTGAACTAGACAAATTCTAAGATTTCTTCTGGTTCTAAATTCTAATCTTTCATAAATCTTTTTGGCTTTCAGTTTGATCAGTGATAGCACCAGTGAGAGATAGCAGTTGGGTGTTATGAAATAATAAAAATATAGAGGGTTAATTATTGGATTTTAACACAGTCAAGGAGACTTCATACCATTCTTTAAAAAGGAATATCAGGGGCCTCCCCAGTGGCGCAGCGGTTGATCGCTGGGTTGCGAAGCTGCCCGCGGCCTCTGCGGCGCCGGTTCGATCCCCGGCTGCTCCCCAGCCACTGGAGGAGGGTCCCTCATAGCGCGCAGACCTCTCCTGCCGCCCGCTGCTCCCCTCAGCAGTGTACTTCGGTCCTTCTGCCTGCTCTGCTCCCTGCTCGGCTCTGGTGAATTCTCTCACCCTCCCACGCTTCTGACTGTACCCAGTGCATGTATAAACAAACAAACAAACAAAACAAATAAATAATAAATAAAACATGCCTCTACAAAAAAAAAAAAAAAGGAATATCAGTATATTCTTCACTAACTTAAAAAAACTGTGCAAGTGATTTTGCAAGGATCTTAGGAATTGTGGTGACCACTGAGGCAGGCAATTCAAAAGCTATGATTACTCTCTTTCATTTGTATTCTAGGTGGCAAAGACACCAAAGAAGAAGAGAAAAGTGGAAATGAAAACACAAGGTTTGAAGTAAGATTGTTAAGAGATCCAGCTGACATCTCAGAAGCCCTCAGCCCCTCCAGTAGGGAGGAACCAGGAACCCAAGAGGAAGAGGACACCCAAGACCCAACAACGACAGATACTGAAGGAGGTGGGCACAGTCGAGAGGGAGCAAGCGAGCCCCAGGAGAACCTCTATGTCCCTGACAGTCAAATCACCAAAGAAGCAAAGACACACCATTTTGAGAAGAGCTTGGAAGAGGACAGGGAGAAGGAGGGAGAGAAAGATCAGAAAAGGGGTCATGGGGAAGATGACAGTGAAGAGAAGCAGCTTGACAAGTCAGGAGAGACACAAAACACCTTTCTCAACAAAAGAAACCAGGCTACGGCTAAGAAAAAAGAATTAGTGTCCAGATACGACACACACTCTTCTATGCTCTCTGAGGAAAAGACACACAGCCAGGAGAGGAGTAGCCAGGAGAGTGAAGAGGTGACAAAGAGCCAGGAGACACACCCCCAAGAGTCTAATAGTCAACCTGGGAGCCAGGAAGAATCTGAGGAAAGTCAGGAAGATGCCAGTCCTGATGTGGACAAAAGACTTTTGAGACCAAGACACCACCATGGAAGGAGCAGACCTGACAGATTCTCTGAAGAAGGGAATCCTCCCTCCAAGGAAAGGTTACACTCCCTTGAGGAATCTGAAGAGTCAAATGTGGGCTTGGCCAAGGTAGGAAACAAGAGGGCCCACCATCCAACCCACTACAGAGCTTCAGAGGAAGAACCTGAATATGGGGAAGAAGTGAGGAGTTATTCACGTGTCCAGTCTCCTGAGGACCTACAAAGGGGACAGTATGGAGTCAGAAGAAGTGAGGAGTACAGAGTTCTGAGGCTTCCCAGTCAAGAGAATGAGGAAGAGGAGGCTAAGAGAAACTACCTAAGCTCAGAGCTTGATAACATGGCACACAGATACAGTGAAGACAGTGAGGAGGAGGGGGCTCGTGATGGGGGACCCCTGTACAGAGCTGGGGGAGGTGAGCCAGGTGTCTATTCCATGCCAGATAATAAAGAAGAGAAAAGTTTCTTGGGTGGAGGATACCATCACGCTCAAGAAAGCCAGACGGATAAGGCAAGGAGACATCCACAAGATGAGTGGAAAGAGCAAGTCAGAAATTACTTCAACTATGGTGAAGAACTGGGTGAGGAAGGAACCCAAGCAAAATGGCAGCAGGAGGAGGACCTGCAGGACAGTCCAGTCCCAGAGAACTGGGAGGAAGCTAGACCGCAAGGTAGACAGTATGCTCCCCATCACATCACTGAGAAGAGAAAGCGACTAGGGGAGCTGCTCAGCCCATACTATAACCCTCCCCAGTGGAAGAGCAGCCATTTTGAGAGAAAAGACAACATGGATGACAATTTTCTTGAGGATGAAGAGGAAAATCGGCTGACCTTGAATGAAAAGAATTTCTTCCCAGAATACAACTATGACTGGTGGGAGAAAAAGCCTTTTGAGGAAGATGTGAATTGGGGCTACGAGAAGAGAAACCTTGCCCCCAGGCTGGATCTGAAGAGGCAGTATGACCGAGTGGCTGAACTGGACCAGCTCCTGCACTACCGGAAGAAGTCAGCTGAATTTCCAGACTTCTATAACTCCGAGGAGCAGATAAGCCCTCACCACTTGACAGAAAATGAAAAGGACAGGGCTGGTCAGAGAGTTCTGACAGAGGAAGAGGTACAGTATGGGACATTTGTTTAAAATAACTAAGATGATTAATGTTAATATGCTGTGTTTAAGACAATCTGCTACTAGTGGGGAGAGACTGCTGGGAATTAATTGCTGTAAGAATGTACCCCCTATTAATGGAATGGAATGATTTTCCATATCCCTGCTCACCTGCTCCCATTGCAGTGCTACTCAAATGTTGGACTCACATGGAGAGCTTGGAAAATTAATGAAGCTGAGATTCTGTCTCTGAAGACAGAGATTCTGTCTCTTTGGTGCTGAGTGCTGCCTGGACATCAGGGTTTTTTAAAGCACCCAGGTGGTTTCAATGTTCAGGCAAGGTTTACGACCACTCTTCTGTTGTCTTCTCCTTGGTCTTTTAATTTATCATCACTTTCTCCCAGGGTAGGAAAGAAATGATGACACAAATTAGTTGCTTTGGTCTATCTCTTTCATCTGTCCTCTGACAATCAAAAGTTTACATTGGGAAATGTAACATTTCAGAGCTTTACCGGCCTAAACAGTGTTTTCCTAATACTGGTTATAGAGATGGATGCTTCTCAAACTTAAATATACATCAGAATCACAAGGGATTCTTTGCCTTAGTTGGTCCTGGGTGGGGCCTCGTACTCTGCATTTCTGGCAAGTTCCCTGGTGATGCTGATGTTGCTGGTCAGGGGATCACACTTTGAGAGTTGCTGATATGGGGTGTCTCCTATAGCCCCAACATATGAAAAAGTCCCCTTTCTGTTCAGATTTCCTCAAACTACAACACAATTAATTTATCTGGGAACTAATGACTACTTTTTTGTGTTTTCTAGGAAAAAGAACTTGAAAACTTAGCTGCAATGGATTTGGAACTGCAAAAAATCGCTGAGAAGTTCAGTGGTAACCGAAGGGGCTGATGGTTGTTGGAGCAAAGGGCAATTTTAAGAGCAGCCCTCACATTATCTATTTTCCACCACTTCTCGGAAAGACACCATTTATTTATCCAAAGACAGAATGTAGAATTTACTATTCATTAAATGTCTGATGCAATTGGAAATGTTTTTAGTTTTTGCCAGAATGCTATTGGAAATATGAATAGCACGGCTTGTAGCATATACTTTCTTGCAAAATAGACATATTAACATGCTTGTGATGATGACTGTGCAGCTGTCCTTGAAAAAACTCTCTCAGTTTGAAATAATAAAAGATTCACCTGAGGCCAAAAGATATATGCTCTGGACTTCTTTTGGGCTAGCAGAGAAGAGTGTGATTTTTAAATCCATTCTTTAAAATAAAGTCTAAAAGATAACACTAGAATTTGTTAGTCTTTGGATACGGAATACCAAAAAAAAAAAAAAAAAAAAAGCGATTCTTTGAAGTCAAAGAATGTGAAGGACATAGAGAGAAAAAGATCGGGAAAGACATAGGTCCCCTCAGGCTGGAGAAAGATTAAATAGGCTTGAAGAATCTGTTTTAAAAACTATCACAAGACATTACTTTTAAAATCCTGTTATCTAGAAAGCTCTGAGAATAGCTGGCCAAGGGTTCGTTTATCAAAAATAAAGAGAAAGCCAAGTTGGTACCAGGAAGAACTCCGGAGACAGAGACCCTTGGGGCCTGATTTCTCCTCTGTAAGAAGACAGGGCTCTATTACTAAGTAGCTGTGTGACCCTGGGCAAGTTATTTTCCCTCTGGACCACTCTGGACCTCAGATTCATCAGTAAAGTAAGGATCTCTGTCTCATTGATCCTTTGTTAATGAGGACAATGTGAGTTTATGCAAAACACTCATAGTAGTGCCTGGCGAATGGCAGTGGTGCAGGAAATTACCCCTGCAGCTTATTACAACAATTCCCCATTCTCCCTTCTTTCACCTGTTATTTCATTCCTTACCAGTGATGGCTTCTGCCTGGTTGAGTTCTATTCTTGACAGTTCAGGTAAAGAGTTGTTCTCTGGGAGGTGGCAAAAATGAGTCTTGGGATTGATGGAGTTCAGATGATGGGGTTTGGTGTGTGGGGTTTTTGGGTCCTCTGAGAAGGAATTTAGCAGACATTTCCATTTATCAGCACACGGCATGTTTATCGAAGAAAGGAGAACAAAGAAAGAGAGACGCCTGCACAGACACAGGTGGGCAGTTTTAAAAGGCAAGAGCTGCGTTTTGCCAGGGCAAGGGGTATTCTTTTATAATGTTCTTTGATGGAATTATTGTGAAATGTATCCCTTTGTGGTCAGATGGGGTTTGTCTTCTAAGATTGATAGTCCTCTCTGCCTCCACGTCTGGCTGATAATTTTTTCTAACCACACCTTAGATTCCTGGAAACTTCCACAGCCATGTTTAGTCCAAATTCATTGATCATCCCTACCCCCATCTCTGGTGTCTGTCCTTGTGAGACCTTCCATCCTAAACTTTTCTACTCTAAGATTCCATCTGGATTATGTGTGACTTTATTGACTGGGTCTCCTCCTTGTGGCTAAGTCAATAATTACCTGAGCTAATTTAACCAGGTTCTTTTCAGATTAACTTTTAGTGACATTTTTCCAGGTATGATGTCAATCAGTGTTAAGAATTTGATGGCAGATTGTCCTAACTGTGGGCACATGCTTTCAAAAAGTCTGCTTACCTCTCTACCTGGGGTCTTTTGTTCTGGTCTTGGGATGGTGATGGACTGTTTGCAAAGGCAAGCAAGTGGCCCTGAGGGATAGTGGCTGCTGGAGGTAGTCTCCAGGGTGAGTGGGAGCTGGTATATGAATATTGTGCTGGATTCCTGGGGCTGCCATAACAAAATATCACAAATTAGGTGGCTTCAGACAACAGAAATTTACTCTTACAGTTCTGGAGGATAGAAGTCCAAAATTAAGGCCTATGCAGGGTCATACTCCCACCAAAACTTCTAGAAGAAGATCCTTCCTAACCTCTTCCTTATTACTAGTGGTCCCAGGCATTCCTTGGTTTGTGGCAGTGTAACTCCAGTCTCTGTGTCCATCTTCACGTGGCCATCCTCTCCCTGCAAGTCTTGGTCTCCTCATGTGAGTCTTCTCATAAGGAGACCAGTCATTGGATTAAGGGCTCATCCTACTCCAATACGACCTCATCTGAACTGATTACATCTGCAAGGAACCTGCTTCCAAATAGGTCACATTCTGAGGCACTGAGGGCTGAAACGTCATCTTTTACTGGGGATAAAATTTAACCCAAAAGGCAGGTGAAATAACTCTGAGTCATACATTCTATACTGCCCCCCAGGACTCCCTAGGGGATTGAGTCCCAGCACAGACCTCTCAGTAATGCACTGTTTATAGGCTGCCTTTACCTCCCTGTCCAACTCCTACTGGTATTTTCTGGGATCAACTCCCATATCAACTGTTTATTCTCAACTTATCTCAGGACTTGCCTTTGGGGTTCCCAACCTAAGAAACTATCCAAAACCAAGCTTGTCCTCTGGCAAATGCAACTATAGCTGTAATAAATCACAGTTGTAACCCCTTCGTGTTTTGATACAGGACCCTGGGAAATGCTTAAAACATTGCAACACACACAATGTAATATGTCTCTCTTTTTTTTAAGATTTATGCATACAAGAACTGGGGTGTAAGCCAGGTTTGCAGGGGTGAGAGGACCCACCAGAGAGAGTGGGGAGCAGAACAGGCAGATGTACTGAAATACACTGCTGAGGGGAGCAGCAGCCGAGACAGGAAAGGTCTGCTGCACCATGTGGGTAGCTCTCTGGCTGCCGGGGATCGAACTCATGCTGTAGCAGCTGGCAACAGTCTGACAGCGCTGTCTTTAACCCCTGTGCCACCAGGGAGGCCCCCTGTGTCTCTTTTCCCACCAAAGCAGTCCAGTAGAAAGTGAAATAACTTCCTAAATAAAGAAAATTCAAGGGGCACAAAATGAGTAGGGATGTACTCACTGGGTAAGAGAAGGCAAAACACTGCAATGCACCAAATGCCCATCTGACAAATATCTCTCTCTCTCTCTCTCTCTCTCTCTCTCTCTCTCTCTCTCTCTCTCTCTCTCTCTCACACACACACACACACACACACACACACACATACCCCTCGAGGCAGAGATGCTGGCAGATGGAGCCTATCACCATGCGGTATCCCAACTTGGAGACTGTTCACATAGCTTCCTCCTGGCCCATTGCCTTTTCCATGCCCTGCACACTAGCACATCTTTTTTGTTTTCATTTGCAAACACTCCAGGGCAGGGAATGTGCAGGCATGGTGACCTACATAGATGCAGGAGAGAGCCAAAATAATCCCATGGTCCCAGCCCAAATGTCAGGATCTCTGGAGATGCTGCCATTTCTTCATGAAGAAGTCAAGAACTACCTGGGCTACTGGGTTTCTCTCTTTTAATCAAAATAATACACATCAATGATTAAAAACATCAAGTAGTCCAGAAAGGTTTATAACAAGTGTTGTAAATGGAATTGTGTGACTCAAAATGATATGAAGTCCTCACTCTTGGCACCATGAATGACCTTATTTGGAAACAGTCTCTGCAAATGCAATCAAGTTACGATTCACAATGGTGGACCATATCCACCTTGACTGGTGTCCTTACAAGAGGAAACGTGGACACAGAGAGGTGGATGCCTTGTGAGGACAAAGTCACAAAGGGAACATGGCAATGTGAAAAGATTACAGTTAGTGCCACAAGGTAAAAATATACCTGGGGTTACCAGGAGCTGGAAGAATCAAGGAAGGAGAATTAACAAGAGTAAGCTGCAGTTATCCTTAAAGGGGAGAGGCTTTGCCTTTCTCTGAGGGTTCCTGGAAATGTCTTGTTCAAATTACAAAAGCAATGAGAAAAAATTTTTTGAGGGAAAATAGATGAGAACGTGATTCTGAAATTGGAGCCAGTTGTGGAAATTATTATAGAGCATCAAGTAGGATGTAGTGTTTCTTCAACTGCAGAAATCAAGAGTAGGAACAAAAGACAAAGCTGCCACAATCCTCCCCAACAGATCGTTTTGCCTCCAGTTAATAAAGTACATTGGTACACTTGGAGGACCTAATGCCAACAATTTGAATGCCAATAGCCAGAAAATATCAGTGGCTCCAGAAACATCCTTACTACAAAATTAACTGGGGTGTTCCTGAAACACCACAGGGGGCCAGATTGCAGTCATCATTAAGAATATGCAAAATGGCAGCCAAAAGAGCAACAATTCAGAAAACATGTGAGTGAGATAGAACCAGAGACAAATATAGCTGAGTGATCACTTCAGCTCAGGAAGCCAATTTGTTGATGGATACACAACATGAAAAAGATGTCAACTGTGACATCAAAAACTTAAAATACAGAGGAGTTGTAAAAACATAGGCCTTTTGTCCGTGGATATATAACTGAAGGAAATGAAATCAGTGTCGCGAAGAAATGTCTTCCCTCCCAACTTCATTGCAGTATTATTCCAATGGTCAAGTTGTGGCAACAAAATAATGTCACAAAGGGAACATGGCAATGTGAAAAGATTACAGTTAGAGCCACAAGACAAAAATATGCCTGGGGTTACCAGGAGCTGGAAGAATCAAGGAAGGAGAATTAAAAAGAGTAAGCTGCAGCTATCCTTAAGTTGGTCAAGTTGTGGCAACAAACTAATGTCCTTCAGTGGATGAATCATGATCAGGTCATACAGTAGGTCCTTGACAATGCAATTTTCTTCAATGTTATTTTGTTATAATGCTGATGAGGAAAAAAACAATCGATTCCTGGCCAGGGCCATGGTTGGTGTGGAGTTTACACTTTCCCTGAGCCTGCTCCCTTTCCCCTGGGTAGTCGTTTCCCTTCCACATCTTGAAGATGTGCTCTTAGGTCACCGGTGTGTCTAAGTTGTACTACTTGGAGTGAGTGGGGTGATGAGTGCGCCCTGTGAGGGAAGGGTGCCCTGACCAGGCTGGTTCCTGCCTTGCTCCCTGAGCTGCCGGGATAGGCTCAGGGTACCCTAGACCCTGAACTGGAGTAAGCAGGTTGGAAAATGAATGCCAAATCATTGTTTTATTTTACAACTGTTTTGGGTATTTATTTGAAACTTTCCTGGTATTTTTGTGACCAGAAATATGCGATAGGAACTTAAGTTTTGGTAGAACTGGTTTTATTAAGCATTTTGCTTAGTCAAAATTTCTAAGAACCTATGAAAGTGAGATCTCGCTCGCTCTCCCTCCCTTGAGGGCATTGTTAGATGAAATAAACCCAACAGAGAAAGA